TTTATTGCTAACTTTTCTTTAAATTTAAATGCAGACTGTTCCTAAATATATTCTTTTGAATGCTACTTCCTCTGAAATGCTTTGCTTTTTTTTAACCATATTTTTACTTCAAAGTTTTAAACTATATTTTTCATGGATTTCATGAAATATATTTAGTACAAACAAATTCGAAAAACATAACAATAAAAGTGAATAGTTTTCTGCAACAGAAATAATCAAATAAAGTAACGAATTAAAATAAATCATGAAAAATACAAAAACAGACGTGTCTGGAATATTCGAATAGCGGTATTTTTAAAATATGAGGTACAAAATATTATATGAATAATATATGAAATAACAAAAATAGTTTAACATACATTAAGCATAGTTTTAAATGAATATTATGGAAACATACGAAAACATCTACAAGCATAAGCCAATATACCGAATTCTAATAAAAAATAAACATTGAATTTACCCATTTAATTAGTTCCTATTTTATAATTGATCTTTTTATTTTATATCATTAATTTGTTCGTAAATGAGATTCAGGTGTCATTTTTATTTGTTTAGCTGTTTAAAAAAAATTGCTGTTAATTAACGAATAGTTTTAAATTGGCCTTCTATTTAACGAAGTTTTAACGAAAAAAGTGCATTAAATGTAATTTGAAATAATTTAGCAAAAAGTAATTGTTGCGTCAGTTCTTAAAAATAAATTTAATTAGAGAAATTTAAATTTTTTGAGCTAGATATATGAAAATAAATTTTAATTTGATGATATTGAATGTGAAACATCTTTAGAAAAAATGCCAGAAACTAATTCTCTTTTGAATTAAATTTTAAACAAAAAATCTCTCCTTAAATCTAGGTCAAAATTTAAACACTGGCGAATTACCAATTACTTTTATTCAATCTAAAAAATAAATTGGTTTGTCATTGGAACTCTTGATTAGCAAGTAGTCCTTCAGGACTATTTCATTTCATGCTAATTAACCTCTTATTTGAAAAACCACACGAGCCAGATTTAACTCAAATTAGTTTTTTTTATAAAATTTTTTTTTAAAACTAAGCATATTGATTTATTTATTAGAAACTGTAGGAAAACAGAATCAACTCGTTGATTTATTTAAATGCTAGGAATGATGTGTGATATCGTTAAAAGAAAACTGGACAAAACAATGTTGTTTATCTAAAAATGCATACATCAGTTAATCTAAAAATCTTAGATCAGTTATTCATTAAAGCATTTGTAAATCTGAATTGCATGTTTAACTGACTGTATCAAAGAACAGTAAGAGCTGGTACCACTGCCGTTTTGGCTGTTCAACTTCACATTTCAGTTTGCCTTATTGTTGTCGTCGCAGGCCATTAAGGCAAAGGAGTCTAATTTCCTAGTGGTGCCATCTATGGCCCAGAGTTCGACTTCTGCAGCATGTGACACCCATTTAGAAGGCGAAGCCATTGATATATCCATTCATTCATCCACAGATTGTAATTTTGAACTGTACTAGAGGACGATCAATAACCAGTCCAGTGTCTCCAGAAATATAATTTGTTATCGGAACATGGATGATTTTGTGATCTGACAGAATTAACGAGTACCAGTCACTGTTTATTACACGGGAGGTGTTCGGCCGGCTGGATTCGAACTCCCGTTCTCATGACCGTGAGTCCAGCGTCCAACCAACCAGGCTATCTCGGCCGATTTTGAATTGTTAAGCAAAAACAATAAGATTTCATCGTACGAAGTTGTGTTTAGTAATGAGTGGGAAGTAGGGTGGAATAAAAAAAATGTGGAATACGATTTTTAGTTCCAGAATTATTAATTGTTGCCGACCGGCCAGGGTAGGGGGCAGCGAGCTGTCCTTGCATCTGAAAGGTCCTGGGTTCGAATCCCGGGCATGACATGGATGTTTTTTTCTCTGTGTGCGTGTTCTATGCCCTTTCCCCTTTGTGTGTAAATGTGACCCGCCCTATAAACGGGTTGTGGTTGTGTGATTGGCGTGTCAGAAGGCGAATTCCTGGCCATTGATGGCGCCTCTGAAAAACAGAACAATCGCACCCCCACTGCCTAAACGGGCATACGACAAAAGAAAAAATTATTAACTGTTAAACTAATCGGAAAACATATCACGCGGGTCACTCTGCAGCTCTCAGAAATGCGACTGCGGAGTAAAAATCAAATGGACCATTTTTATTTCTGAACTTAATATGAATTTTTATTTATTCCAGTTTGTTTGTGATTTTATGAGTTTTTTCTCATTTTTTTTAGTTTTAAACAGTAACTATTTATTGTTTGTTGTAAAAATTTTATTTATTACTTTCGAGACATTTATTTTAAAATAATTGCGCTTGAGTTTATGTAGAAAGTACAAAAACATACAGAGAGAGAAAGACTAGCCAGACATATACTCTAGCATGCTCATTAAAATTTTTAAAAAAATGTATCAAATAAAAAAAAAATACAAAGGGATAAAAAAAATTCTCTTATAATGGTATAAGTCTAGTTAACGATTAAGGCTATTTCTAAAAGAATCTTCTCTTTCTTTCTCATAACTGGGTCACTTGCTCTAGTTAACTCCTCCTAGAAAATAGAAGAAACTGAATTGACCTGAATAAAATAACTTGGCCCCTATGGTTGCTTGTTTGCTGTAATCTTGGTCTTTTTGGTGGTTTTGTAAGGCAAAAAAAATAAATAAAATGAAATTGAAAAAAAAATGAGTATACTCAAAAATTTCACAGGATAACATTGCTATGGGAAAAAGTCATGAAGATGTTTAAGTGAAGAAGAGGATCCTGAAATAGCCCACCCTGTGGCAAAATTTTAAAAATCTCCCCAAGCAATTTTTTGAAATCTCGTCAAATTAGGCTTCCGGAAGATATTCCGAGGAGATTATTTTGAACGTCCGATCATACCACCAAAATTCTTAAACTTAATTGTTTATTTGATATCTATACCTACGCAAAGGTTGGATTTCATTAGAAAAAAGGTAAAATGGATTATATTTTCAACATTTATACTTCTGATCTCTTGCTGTTGAAATTAACGTTATTATTTCATTTTTTAACCGTTGTTTCATTTATTACCATTATCATTTCATTTTTTTAACTTTCCTTTTACGGTAAAATGGCGAGCGAATGGACGAGTGAATTATTAATTTTTTTGAATGCAAAAGACAAGAGAGTGATGATTAAATGATGTATGGATCTAAATTTAATTTCGAAAACATAACTTATTTGTAATAATTAAAAAAAAAATTTTGATAATCAAAGAGAAACGTTGATCCAAGTAATAATCGCCAACTTAGAGAGATTTCAAAAAGTCGCCAAGAAGTGGGCTATTCTAGGATTTTACTGAGTTACATTATTTAACTTTCGAGAAGTGCTCTGTCTTTTATTTGAAGAAACATCTCGTTGTTTAATTGAATACTCTTCTGAATGAAGTAGTTAGCCTCACTAAACGCCGCTAGTAACTTGAGCCTATCGGCTGTGGACGGAACGTAGAATTGCGGATGACGACATGGAAAACAGCTACGGACTAGCATTTTCACAAGTGATAACAATCAGTTTTCTAGCTAAGCCTAAATGATGTTTCCTAATACAGCAGCAAGAAATCGCTTTTTGTAATAAGTCCACTTTCACAATTCTACGCCGTCTACTTACACAGAGTTTTCACTTTGTCTGGGTTCGGGAACCACAACACCTTGAATTTTGATATTTAAAAATTTGATTTGATAATAGAAGCCCTGCAGTCCACATTACTTCTTTAATAAACACGCGAACAAGGCAGAATCGTGTTGGCAATTTAAATTCGATGGAAAGAAGGCTGTTCTCAGTAACGAAACAAGTCATTCTTCACATGTGCTGGAAAGTAAAAGAGAGAAAGTAATACGAAGGAACGAACATAAACTGCGTAGTGGAGGAAATGAGAAAGATGTCACAATGCTCGGATCACTAAAGTACTCCACGAACTGATCAGAATTTTCGTTTATGGTAAACTATCCGAAGACATGTTTTCATCTAGGATGTCTTGCTCTAGTGCTACGTTTTCCAAACTGGGAGGCACGAACTAGTCTAAAGGGAGCCGGGAAAATTAGTCACAATGAACAATTTTCCAAATTACTGATAAAGTTTTCTATGTAAAAAATGAGAGAATAAATTAAAAAATACCATTGTGCTTTATCGCGCATAGTTCAACTAAACATTTCGAAACTTAGCATCCATATACCTAGACGTCCTAGACTCCGGCAAATCTTTTGAACCAAGGCCGTCGTTAATTTTGCAACAGTAGCGCCACTCGACCGACACAACTTAACAAAAGCCAGATGAGCGCGCATTAACGCCACTGGATGCCACACATCAAGAAAAGATCGAAGCACGTTTAGCTCACCAATTTGTTTCGTGTCACAGCTAATATTTAATTGGTTCAGCAGTGTTAGGTTGTGTTTCTATTGTTATTGACGTGATTGTCCACTGATCATAATAGTAAGTAATTTAATAGTTTTATTTTTTCTGAATAATATATTATTATTCCTAATATTTCCAGACAAATGGATAAGTTTTTGATAGGATATAAGCGAAAATCCACTAATAATGAAGATTCTGATGTTGGCACAAGTAGTGGGAATACAAGCCACAAGGAACAGGAAGGAAGAACTCCCAAGACAAGGAAATACGACTTATCCTATTTATCGTTCGGATTTACTAATATTATTAACGATAATGTGGAAAAACCAATGTGTTTGTTGTGTTCAAAAGTTTTGGCTGCTGATAAGTATGAGATCCGGCAAATTGAAACAGCACCTTGAAACTATTCATTCTGAATACGTTGGTAAGCCCCAAGAATATTTTGAAAGAAAATTGGATGAGTTATCTAAAAACAAGCAAAATTTCAATTTTTTTTTTTTCATATTCCATCAAATGCATTTCTAGCATCATACCTAGTGTCGTACAGAATCGAGCAATGTAAAAAAACCCACACAATAGTAAAAACCTTAGTTTTGCCAGCAGCTATTGATATGGTCAAAACAATGTTTGGCCAATTTTATACGAATCAGCTGCAACAAATACCGCTTGCTGATAATACAATTGGCAGAAGAATTAATAATATATCTGAAGATCTTTGTGACCAATTAGTTTCTCGAATGCGTACTTCAAAATTCGCCATACAAGTAGATGAAGCTACTGATGTAGCTAAAGACGCACACTTAATTGCATATGTTCGAAATGTTGACGATACTAATATGATTGAAGATATCTTATTCTGTAAACCAATTCCAGACAGAGCCACATCCTACGAAATTTTCCAAATAATCGACAGATTTTTTAATGAGAATGACATAATGTGGAATAATTGCATTGGGCTCTGTACTGACGGGGCGCAATCAATGACTGGACACAAAACTGGTCTTCAAACACAAGTTAAATTGAAAATACCTGAGGTTCTCTGGACGCACTGCATGCTCCACAGAGCAGCTCACGTATCAAAAACTATAAGCGAGGAACTTAACAATGTTTTTGCAAAAGTAACGAAAGTTATAAATTACATAAAAAACAGTCCATCAAAAGCAAGGTTGTTCGCAAAACTGTGTGAAGATTTGCGAGCTAATTACACGTCACTTCTGTACTATTGTGAAGTGCGCTGGCTATCTCGTGAAAAAGTTATTCAAAGGGTACTTGAACTCAAAGAAGAAATTGCTATGTTTCTCGAGGAAAATCATATTGAAGACGGCAATATGTTTAGGGATGATAATTTTATCGTTAAACTTACATATTTGGTTGACATTTTTGAAAAATTGAGTGTTCTTAATAAATCAATGCAAGGACCGCAATTGCATTTGCTTATACAAAAAGACAAAGTGCAAGCATTTATTAAAAAAGTGGAGCTATGGAATCAAAATTTCAAAAAAATAAGCTTGACATGTTTCCGCGTTTAAATTTATGCGCCCGAGATAACATAGAAGCAAACAAAAATCTCTTTGTGGAACACTTGAATGATTTGTTGCTCCAATTTTCAAATTATTTTGGTGATCTTGATTTTACAAAGTTTGCGTGGATACAGAATCCATTTATCGACGAAGAAGATGATGAATTTGGATTGACAAGTATTGAAAAAGAAAAATTGATTGAATTATCTTGTGATACTACATTAAAACATAAATTTCAGATTGTATCTCTGGTTCAATTCTGGTTGATTCTTCATACAGAATATAACACTTTGTCAAACAAAAGCTTTGAAAGTACTGCTGCCGTTCGCAACATCATATTTATGCGAAACGGGATTTTCTGCCTTGGTTGCAATAAAATCCAAATAACGAGCTCGTTTAGTTGTAGAAAAAGAGCTACGAGTAGCTATATTGTCACAAACACCAATATTTGATAAACTTTGTGCTAATAGACAATCACATCCATCTCATTAGAAACAATACTAAAATATCGTTTTCCATTAGCTTGTATGAATAAATTTTATAAGAGTAAAAATTTTTGTGTTTTTATTTTATGAAATCTTCAGGGGGGCGCCAAAAGATTAAATATTTTTAAGGGAGGCGTAGTAACATTTTTATGAAACAGAATTATTTATGAATTTTGATTTTAAGTTTAGAAACCACTGCTCTAGTGCAACGTAAATAAACAACTGCTACTTCTAACTGAGTAACGCAATATGTCTATATTTTAAATCAAGGTTATCTTTTACTTCGTTACGATTAACATATTAATGAAATGCTCTTATACAAATTTACATTTAATATTTGTATAAATTTTTTTTGGAACAATGTTTTTTGCTTTTGCAGAAAATATCAACTCAAAAAAACTCAGATAAATGAGAAACAATTATGGGAGTTGGTGAGTCGGGCCTTCTTAGTGCGATAATAAAGTAAGCAAAATAATTCTGAATAGAAATCTAAATTCATTCATAAATATAATAACATCTTCTTAATCTTCCATTCTTAAAATTATTTTTGTTACAAACTAAACACTCAAATACATTACTGGTCTGAGCGTGTCATTTAAGCAACAATGCCCTTAAAAGTCAGTAGTATTTGTTAAAGAAATAACAAGCAAGATTGTTTTAAATTGCGGATATAATATGGTAGCATGTGAAATTATTATGTTTGAAAAAAAATTCCTTATTAAAAATTTAAATGTAAAAGATTTAATACAAATAACTCACCTAAAATCCATTACACATTTGAGTGTGAGTTTAATAAAAAAGAATAATGCCTGAAAAAAGTAAATTGTTACTGAGGAAATCAATAATAAGATCGTACATGTAAGTAAAGTAGTAAAAAATTGCTCCATTTGATGCGCAAGGAAATATTCATTATTGAGAAATATAATTATACTAGGCTTCATATAAACAATCCACACAAGGCGTATTACGGACCTGAGTTTGTGTTAATCAAGCAGCAACATCAGGAAAAAGCAAAAAATTATTATAGAAATAAATTATGAGATCAATTTAGAGCGCCATGTGTCCGATAGCAGAGATTAATAGCCGATTTCGCTAATTTGATATATTTTAAGTTTCAATTTAAGAACTTTAGAGAGGCTTAATTTGTAAACTGAAACATTGCGTTTAAAATTGTAAGCGAGATAAATATTTCTTACAGAGCTGACAACTGTTGGAAGGGAAAGTTGCATTTAATTTATTACATTTCAGCATATATACTTTTAAGACTTCTTAAAGAGTAGATTCAAAAGCGTGTATAAAAGTAAATAAGTGATAAATCTATGTGCTATAGTACCAGAAGCTGTAAAAACAACGAGAAAAAAAAGCAAATTAAATAAATTCAAGAAAAAGAGCAATGAAATATCTCTGTACGATATTAAATTAAGAATGCAGAAAAAAATTAAAATAATGCACCATAATCCATGTGCTAGTTAGAGAAGCTGTAAATCCAACGAGGAAAAGGAAGCAAATCAAGTAAATTAGAAAAAAAAGCAATTAAATACTCCTATAAAATATAAAATTAAGAATCCAGTTAAGATAAATTAAACTAAAATAATACACCATGTACTACACAAGAAAATTCTTAGAAACACAGGGCACGAATGACAATCAGCAATGAAATATCTCTGTACAATATTAAATTAAGAATGCTGAAAAAAATTAAAATAATGCACCATAATCTATGTGCTAGTGAGAGAAGCTGTAAATCCAACGAGGAAAAGGTCGCAAATCAAGTAAATTAAAAAAAGGCAATTAAATACTCCTATAAAATATCAAATTAAGAATTCAGTTAAGAAAAATTAAACTAAAATAATACACCATGTACTACACAAGAAAATTCTTAGAAACAAAGGGCACGAATGACAATCAGCAATGAAATATCTCTGTACAATATTAAATTAAGAATGCTGAAAAAAATTAAAATAATGCACCATAATCTATGTGCTAGTTAGAGAAGCTGTAAATTCAACGAGGAAAAGGACACAAATTAAGAAAATTAGAAAAAAAAACAATTAAATACTCCTATAAAATATCAGATTAAGAATTCAGTTAAGAAAAATTAAACTAAAATAATAAACCATGTACTACACAAGAAAATTCTTAGAACAAAGGGCACGAATGACAATCATCACGTAATGTATAAACAAATATGACAAACTTAGATTATTTATTTATTTATTTTAAATACATCGAATCTTCAGCAATTACCCACCATTAGTTTTTAACATTAAATCCTCAGAAGAGCTAGAAATAAAAACGATATTTTCTTTAAATTTAAAAATCCAAGGAAACGTAAAGCAATTTTAAGTAATGTTCGACAAAAAGAAAACAAAGTTTGAACAGTTTTTTTTAATGAAACCTTTTTCCCATTATCACAATTTGAGAGAAATATTTTTCTCAATTTTATTTTATCCCAGATACCTCAAAAGTATAAACAGCAAGCAAAAATACAGTGATGTTGACAAGAACTACTTAAAAGTTTATTGCAAGACATGCTAAACTAAATAGGGAATTTTATTTTAAATTGAATTTTATAAACTTTGGATTACAATCCAAAATCTTTAAAATAGAAGAGATTCTGAATGGTTTTGTGGTGAGTAAAATAACCAACTTACGTACATTAAAAAAGAATAAAATCCAATAAGAGATTTCGAAAGATTTTTCTTGGAAGACAAACCAAAGCTCGTGATGAGTATATCGGAAAATAAAAACCAATATGGTCCAAAGCTAATTAAATCTGCTTCATTAATTGCGTTCAATTCTCCAATAACGATAAAACTATAGAATTCGTTTATAGATCTATTCGTTTGTTAAAGGAAAGAAAAAGTGTGTTTGAAGATGTAATCGATAGTTCTTTTTAAATTACGCTTCTTTTTAAATGAACATAAGGTGACAATTTGAAAATTTTATAAGATGGAGCAATATTATTTTCAAGAAAAGCATATTTTTATAACTAAATATCTATTAGTTTCTCTATTGAATCTTTAATTATAAAAACTTCTGTGAACGATTATAGCGTGACGTGATTTATTTTAATTAGTACAATTGAGATATTTTAAGCCTGCGTATTAAGGTTCTCTAAATAAGCTTGCATTAGTGCACTTTCATATAACTCATTTATTTTCAATCAATCGATACACCGTGAAATATTTCTGGCAAAATAACCATAATGAATGGTAATGACATTTCTGGTTAATAAAACTAAAATATACGGTATATTTATCATCGATACACTTTCGATATTCAATTGGTATTTCGCGTTGGTAAGCGTGACTACTGGATGTGTCATCATCGCATCAGTGCGCATACGGTACTTAATTGGTTCCGTTCATATGGTAATGATTTACCGGAAATTTTCTTTTTCAAAATTATAGTTTCCATTACAACACCTTTTTAAAAAAATAAAAGAAATAAATACGAAGTAAATGAAACCGAATAAATGGTTTTTATGCCATGATCTAAAATTGGGATAAAATAACTAAATTTCACCACATTTACAAAACTTTATAACTTTATATAAAACCATATTTTACCAAAATCATTATTATAGCATTACGTTAAAAATTGCCGTGCTACTTGGCGTGCCAATAGTGCCAGGAACATGGTAAATTTAGCATATTCATTTTTTTTTAATATGGAATAAAACGATGCTTTAAAAACGATATTAATTACGAGATAATGGATTAAAAATGATATCTTTCACAAACCAACTTTTTTCAGTACATTGTATTCCTACATTTGATTCGAAGTGTTTTAGGTAGGATTCTTCCCGAAAATAATGTGTTTAAAAGTTAAAATTTAATTGCAATATATTTTTATTAATTAATAAATTGTGAAGAAACTATGGTTCAATACTTCCCACAGTGCTTCACGCTGATATAATTCATTTCACTCTGAAAAAAATATCAAAAGTACTAAGAAGAAAAAAAAACAAGTTAAATTGCCCGAATTCTCGCTGAAACACACAGAACTGAATTTTTTGAATTAAATGTACAGAAAAAAATCGAATTTTCCTAGTGTATTTCTCAAAAAGGGCTTCTTTAATTGCATTGACATATTTCAACGCACTGTTATTTATTTCACAGGTAATATTCTACCTTTTATCTGTGGTAGAAAGAAACTTCCAGTACCCCGCCCTCTGTCGGGGTTCAATTCTCCGTGATACAAACTAGGTGCCTCATGGATGAGCACTTTCTCCGATTGAGTTCTGGTAATTCGTATTCCTCTTTCATGTAATTAGAGCTGAAAAGGGTTTTAGGTTTAGAAAGACTTACTTAAGGTTAGTAAAAATGTCTAGCAATTAAGCCCTTTTCGTCTCAAACGAGTTTCAAAACCAAAAGAGGCTTCCTTTCGAAGAAGCATGAAATAGTATGTCAACAATTTGGTGTGTTATGAAGATATTTTGATTAACCCGGCCTCGATCACGGTTCAATTCTCAGGGATAAAAACTGGGTCCCTCATGAATAAGCATTTTCTTCTATCGTA